GACCGGTTACTCACTGAAATCTCAGTGTTCATCGTAAAACCGCAAGCCCCGAAATATATACAGAAATAGTAACGCTCTCAAATACTTTCTTCAAGTTGGCCTTTCCTCATGAGAGAATTTTTCTTCTCTAATAGCTACTTGTTAGGTTTACTACTGTTTCGTGAGCATACATAATGGTGACAGTGGTTGGTGTAGCGGCATTTGACGTCGTTTATCTCGCGCGTGGTCCGGAAATCAAACACCGGATCAGCTCCTTCCTAATCCATCCAGACTTCAGAGCAATTTGGATTCTGTTATTTGCTTACCACATTGTTTCTTACCACGAAAAATGTTAGGTGGTACTTCAACTGTCCTGCAACTTCTTGCAACAGCCAAATCGCTCTTATGAAGCGCTACAATTTCATATTGAACTGAGATCCGCGGCGCATCCCGGGCAATAGTTGGTAAGCCCTGAAACTTTCGGCCTCATCCTTTTATTTTTGACGACCTCTTGAACCGGACATTTCCTTTTTTTTCCATGGATGTACGAGATCTCGACGACGTTCGTGCTCTAGCATAGGCTAATATTTATCTAACTCTACACTCCACCCCTGTGGGTGTATGCTGGTCATTTCGACACACTCGATGGACGTACACTATCCCACTTATGCACTAAATCTCTTTGTCGAATTCCTTAGCTCAGCTCGTCCTGCACCCAGCCTTATACTAGTCACATTACCAACTACTTGAGTTTGGCGTCCATTGAAAAACGTCACAGGTGTGGCTTACCCCAAAGCCATAAGCGACCGTAGTTTCTTTTTTTGTGCATTTATTTCTTCAGCTTTCTCTTTCTAGATGAAGTAGTTGAGCAATCAGTACTCTTCGGGTATTTGTGGATTTGAATGGTTTGCAGTTATGACCACGAGTAAGAGGGAATACTTCCGAGCGGCACAGGATAAGAGGCGTGAGTACTGAGCAACTATCCCTCGTTGAAAAAAACTCACATCAGTCATTGTGAGAATATTGGAGCTGGATCCCTATGAAATGGCCCCACTCTCATGCGAACCTTTGATACACCACTTTTAGGAAACCGTGAAGTTCCCGTCCAGCCATAGTCCTGTGGTAGCTCTTTATTCCAGTGATTTAGCTGCAAAAAGCTAATGCGTTAGCCTCGCAATCCTACCCGGCGTTGTTTTGCCATGCTTGTGTGAAAATCCCAATAAAGGCCTGTCCCGTTGAGTGCTTTCTGCGGTGCGTATCAAATCACAATGGGATGAAGTCGATAGGTCTGAGCTACGCGTTTTGAGGCGTGCATTTGGCATTTTTTGGACTCATGAAAATAATCTGAAGTATTCACGACGCACTGCAGCAGCTTTGAGCAGTACAGTTGCGCTGTTTGATTTAGGGTGGCTGGCTCTCCATTAATCTTTATTTTTTCATGGTTTGATTCATTTTTCTTTTTATTCTTACTTATTATGTTCCTTGTGTTCTTTTCTATTTGACGTTGGATGAGGCAAACGTATTAGACCCTGCTACAATTGCAGCAATAAAGTGATCAGATCTTTACAACTTCCCCTTGACTAGCCGTCTAAGAAGCAGGGAAACCGGAGAGGCAACTTGCTTCGATCGTAGGTAGAAATGGTGTCTGACCCAGCTTGACTTGCGGCCTCTCTCTCTAGTCTTTTAGCACTTATCTGGAGCGGTAGATGCTGGGAGAATAACGTGTAACGGCATGGTGTGCTCTGGGATCTGAAGAACTACCCAACGGACGGGCGCACCATCGTGTGGATTTCTCTACCCAGGGATGAGGGCCTGGTCATTGTAGGGGGGGGGTGTTGCTCATCGTCCTAACTTGGCGACGCTGCGGTCTCAACAGTTAGACGGACAGCTGTTCGGGAAGCACAACCCTGGCTCAATGGCTCATGGCCTTCCGGGAGGCAATCAGAAGCAACACCCCCTCAAAAGAGCATTTGCCCTGTTAAGACTTTATTTGAATAGCTGACTTTTGCCGTCTTAGATGCACTTTGCACCCCCCCCCTGCGCTACGTATTGGACAGGGTCCTACTGAAGGAGCGTTTACCATGGCGTGACCTGATTGAGTCCCATTTCCTGCTCTCCTAGGGATGAATGTTTTGACACCTTGATTTGTTTTGACACCACGTACTTTATCACGCAGAATTTCGAACGGAATTCTTTTTCATATTTGATTGTTTTTGATATGTTAGGTAACTCGTAAACATGTTGAGTAAATCCAAGCTATCTATTTCATTTTCCGCTCTACTGAACATGTAAGCGCGAACGAAAGCAGATTTCTTCATGACCACTACCTCCATCAACCTACTTTCAGTGAGAAGTAGAGTAGGTGAGCTGGAAACACATTAAGTAAGCTGTTTCAAAGTGGTCATTCAGATGTGATAGTGCCCATTTCAATGCTAACAAGGGTAATAGGAACACTTGTCACTTATGCTGGCATAACCTGTAGGAGAACCTCTCCTGATCAACGGTTTTAATTAGCAGCCTCGCCTGCGTATGATATTGGGTGGACTGCTGCCCTGTCTGGACTTCAGCAGTGCCCCCCCCCCCACCGCTCTCCCCTGAGAGGATTTTGTCGCAGGCTATAATGCAAAGCTTCAGCAACCTACCAACCTCATTCCTGTACGCGCCATGCACTTGTTGGGCCAGCCTCCATCGTCTGTAAATGTGGGTCATTTGGGATAGGCTGGGAGTTTCTGCCTCCTTCAGCGTTTTTTTCTCTCAGTTGTCTCATTTGCTTGTAAATAAATGGCATTATTACAGTGCTGATATTCTAAAAATATGAAAACCTTTAGGAAAAGGAAAGGATCAACCTCTAGAAGGAAAGTTGTTATGGCTTTTCTACAATGTACTTCTTATTTTCCATAAGTTTAATCCTGCGCCGTCGCGTGATCCACCGGCCTTGATGAAGGCGTCACTTCCTCCTGGCCGGGGCATCTTCTCCCTAAACCTGATTTCAGTGAGCACTTCCCTGATGATATTCTTCCACCGTTTCCTTGCAATCCTCGTGTTTGTATTGTTCAAAACTGTCCTTCGTTTCTGATTCTGATAGCCTTCTCAGTGCGAGTCCGTTGTAATAGCTATTCTCTAGTTTGCAGAAGGGCAGGATGAGTCTGCATGGCCACACAAAACAAATGCTAATTGAGATAAAAATAAAATAAAGATAAAAAATAAATGCTCTTAGTCCAGCGTTTATACCTTCTTGCTCTACACGTATGAACCCTTGTAACCTAGGGCTATGCGGCAACATATATCTCCTGATCTGGGGTACAGTGTCGTTTTAAGTAAATGGAAATGTTAGTATCAGTATGAAACCCCGCCCAACCCTCCCCCTCCCCTTGCCCATTCTACCTACTTTCTTCCTTAATTCTCCTAATTTCTACCATTTTTCCCCACTTTCCCTCCGTAAGCTGGTGTCCAGTTCACCGTTTTCATGTTCGCCACATAATATAGCAAACATGGAAAAAACCGGAAAAGTCGAGAAAAGTCAGCAGCTGGTCATCTCTCCTGATCGAGCAGGGCAGGAGGGGTGGGGTTGACATTATTATTTGGTCTTGGCAGGAATTTTCGCGCCAGAATTTTTATTCCAGCTGCTGACTTTTCTCGACTTTTTGGTTTTAATCAGTTGAACGTCTAAGGTCTTGCTGTTGATCAATCCCTTTGTGGGATGCGGCACGCATTCTACTTCCATTCAGAATCGTAGTGGCTTATTGAATGCGATGTGGCCTATACAATGACTTGCGGGGCCAGCCGATGTACAAGTCAGTGTTCTTATCCTCCCAGACGAATCTGGTACCAATTTACCATCCCCGGAGGGGTAGAAGATTCGGTTGGTGTGGGTAAGAGTCACCCGGGATGTGAACCCAGGACCGCCACTTGTCGCTAACCTCCCCCCAGTTACTTATATATTTGAAGACATGCTGTATCCTGTCCTAATTACTTGTATATTGAGGATATCGGCCCCATTTCTACTACCTTTCAAGAAGAGAATCTCCTTTAGCGAGAACGATAGCTTTGACAGGACTTGTACAGGAAAATTTTTTCTCATCAAAAACCTTTTTTTTCCATAAAAATCGTTTTCTTTTCTTTCACAAAACGGACTTGCTGGTCAATACAGGTAGTCCTCATCCCGCATTGTATGGATTATTCGGACAGAGATGTCCCGATGCTTTATTGTATCGACAAACACAATCTCACCTTTGCGACAATCTCAAGACAGCGGCTCTCGTCGTGCACAAACTGTCATTACGTAGCCGGCACATCGTGAAGACGCATTTCGGAGCTGTCATAGGATTTCGCCCCTCTTTTATGTTAAGCAGGGGGACATTGACGGTGGGTGACAGGACGTTATCACATTTGATAAGATCTCAGTAGATAGGCACTAAATTGCTACTCCTTAGTTGGCCTGAAGGGGAGCCGATCGCGTGGTAAGCGGGATACTTGCCATTACTTCCGCCTCTACTGAAGGAGCTTAAAGGATATCCAAAAGATAGGCTTGCCTTAATGGGGGTACTACCAGGGTACACCATCGTGATGTGTGAGGTGGTGGTGTAGGTATTACCCCCCCTCCTCCCAGGGAGGGTGTCAGAACGACCCCCCCACCTAAATGAGGGTCTCGGTACGACACCCCCCCCCCTTCCCTAACACCTAGATACAAATTCCCTTATTTTCCAATTTCTTCACCCAAAAATTTTCCGTCG